TGCTGCCTTAATGACATAATTCATCAATCTCGTTTGCTGCCAACAGTAAGAACCCGTCCAGCGCGACGCGCAGGTCACCCTCTGGTCATTTCAGCTTAAGGGGGACTGACACGCGTCGCCTGTAAGTGCGCTGAGCATTGAACTGTTGACACGCTGTTGCCGCCACCTGCGGCGCATGTTACGTCGTAGCTGCGTCTGTTGTCATACCACTCTTATGTAAATCTACAGAGCAAACTAAGTCCAGTTTGTAATACTCACCAACACTGGCAAAACTCTCATGTTATCTGCCTTAGGATATTCGTTTAGTTCTAATCCAATTGCGTGCAGTTAGCTGCAAGCCAAACAAATTGAATACACATAAATTCACACAGAGTAATTATTTAATAAAATATTTGTTATATTTAATATGAAATGCACGCGAGCTTCACTGAACTAACTCACTTCGCTGTTTGAACGTGTTATCCTTGCACACGACACGACCAGACAAAAACTGAACCGTTTATAGTTCGGCGGCACAAAATGCGCGCGAGCTGTGTAAAAATTCGCGACCGATCACCGTCGCGGTCGTATTACAACTGAATTTCACAGAAGACGCAACCAGCAACTTCAAGTGACCAACGACGAGAGCCAAGAGTCCACAGCCAAGAGAGAGCGACTTCATCATCATCATCAGCTACAGTGCCACTGCCATTGCATTGCATTAAAGAAGACACCAAAAGCATGGCCAGCGAAGAGCGAAGATTGCTACCACGTGGTGAATTTCTCAGTGTTTGCCTTTTGTGTATCGCAGCTACCAAACAACAACAGTGACAACAGTAACAAGCGTAAGCAACAACAACTCCTCAAGCATTCTCAATCAAAAGTGTACAACCCATGCGTGCGTTGAAAGTGAATCTGAATTTCATTAAAAACAAAAACAACGCTAATTCTACACTGAGAAAAAAAAAACAATGACCAGAACTGACTCTAAAATTTTAGAAAATCGGGCCTGAATTACAAAAAAATAATAATACTAATTGCAATATTAAATAATAATTAATAATTTAATAATAATACTAATTGCAATACTTTTTAAAAATAATTCAGTCTACAAAACAAGTGTCTTTTTCCAATATTAAATGAACTTTATTCTGGAAATTAGGAACTTATATAATTATGCAACCAAATATATTTTCTTACAACTATGACTGTTATGATATTTTTATTGATGATGTGAATAATAAAACACAAATTATTGTTAATTCGAATGCAGTGCTTTCGGAATTAAAACTAAATGGACATATTCGTTTCTCCATTTCAGGGAGAAATTTTCCCATATTATACATTTGCTTTTTTAAATATAATTCTTAATTTAATTTCTAATATGCAGATTATAAATTTTTCTGAGTGTACTCATTTAACTTTCAATGGCGCGCATTCCACCATCATCCGTTGGCTTGCTCTTTAAATGTATCGGTATCCCCATTTGTATCTGTATCTCTATCTGTATCATTACGTCGAATGGCGCGCAAATCATAGGAAATGGAAAAAGTAGTCAAATTGTGCCGCCGGCCAGCGAACGCTAACTGGGCAGAGCAACAATAAAGGCACTTATTAAATGCTCAGTCCCGCACCGCGCCACTCCTTCGCCCCACTCCACGGGATGTGGATGTGTGTTAAAAATGCCGGCAACAAGCCACCACAACTTACAAGCCAGAAACTTACACATGAATAATGCGCAGCGAAATGTCCAATGATTAAGCCAAGTTAGCCGGCACATAAGCAGGCCAACAATAACAAAATGTGCGCATTAACAGACACGCCGCTCACAATGGCCCGGACAATGGACAACCCGTTGGATGGGTTGGATAGGGCGAGATGTTTATGGCTTTTCCTATCCAGTATTAAATTTTCGGAACAATGACGCACATAATTAACAAAATGTGCGCCACAATTTCAAGCCAACACAAATCAGTTTAATGAGACAGTAATTGGGAATTTCGCCCTGGCTTGGACTGCCTGAAAAGGTCATCACACATGAGACGACAAGTGCGAAAAGTGAGAAGCAATTGCATTTCTGCAAAAGCCATATACATACACAAATATATGTACATACACTACAAAAAAAGGAATTTTTCGTTAAAAATCAATAGTCAATAGTGTCAATAGTTAGAGATGTTCGAAAGATCTTCTCAATTTTAAAAGCCTACATTAATGAAGGTTTTTCAGATCTTTTGAACAATTAGTATATTTACATAGATTTAAGTGAGTCCTATAGATGTATGCTATGGACACTTCTTGTATTCCCTATTTATTTTAGAAATGAAAAGAAATCTTTTGAGAAATTAGTATATTGAATTGATATTATTCTTTTAATTTTGATTTGATGAAAGCAATTTCCATATATTTGGTTTTGTTTTAAAGGATCCCCATTACGGGACAAATCTATACTATCAGATATGTAACACTATTTATTATAATTCATTATTATGAATAACTTTTTATGCATACCTTGCATATCCATCGAACTGTTCTTTATTGATGCCTGCGAGCTATTCTCTCTCTCTCTCTCGCTTTATGCTTTTGTCGCAAAAAAAAACTCTACTCTGAATAATGCCCATACTACTTATAAGCTTAAAACATTTCTTTAAACAGGCCAGCAATTTACTATATTTCTAGGACAGGCGAATATGTAAGTCTAGATCGAATTATCGCGCTAAGCCTATAAGAATAAAAAGAGATAATCTTTTCTGTTACTTTGCACAAACCTTATATACAGGGTATAAATATAATATATACCTATATTAAGTACATCATGGAATAAATTCAAGTGAAATCTGGCTTAGAATGTTTCGTTCTATTTTTTCCCGAGTGTAGATAAAGTTTGAATGTTGGATGACTGCAGGCTGCCTGGTTGGCCACCAACGAAAATTGATGTACGACCGGTTTTGCATAGGCCACTAAATGTAACGTAACAACAACTTTCGCTGAAACGTCATCCACAATAACAACAACAACAACAACAATGACTACGGCAAAATGGCAAAGCAGCAAGATAAAGCGCCGATATCATCATGCTGGCTGGAAAATACGACGATGCCGACGATGATGATGATGATGAAGCAGAAGAAATTCAGTGTCGCTGCCTCCTGTTAACGCAAGTGTCTAGACCAGTTTGGTAGCAACAACAACCCGTGGGCCGACTTTGAATATTCGGAAGTGCAAGCTTTCGAGTGTTGTCTGGCCGTTGCCAGTTGCAGTCCAATACGGCAACATTGCAACTCATTTGAATTATTTTCAAAGCCTTTGCACTGCAATTAAGAGCACTAAATTAAATGTTTGATTTCTACTACACTTTCAATTCGAGACGCAGACACACGGCCTCCCAGCTTCGGCATTCAAAATCGAATTCACCAAATAAATTGCCGGAAAATTTCGCTCTCGACTAGTTTTCTGCTGTCGTTCAATTTACTTTTGCTGGCGTACGCCTCATCTACGAGTATGTAAGTCGGCGTCGTCCACCATCTTTCGACCGGAAGTCGTTAAAGAAATACCAGCGTATACATACTTGTTCGTACTGCAATTGATTGTCTAGAAATGTGTGTGTATGGCATGTGTGCGTGTGTCTGTTGCAACGATGCGGACAACGCATGGCATTGAACATAAAAAAGCAGACACTCAATAAAATGTAGCACAATTAAATCCATCACTACATGCAGACAATTGTCTGCATCCATTTGAACAACAGCCTCTACATAATACGAGTATATAAATTAATAGTATAGATGATGAGCACATTATTTGAATAATTTAATTTTTTCATAATTTAATAGAATTCAATGTTATATTAAAATAAATTTTTCAAAATTGGTCTTTTTTGAATACTTTCTTCTTCTTTTACGAGTAAAGCTAATAAGGTTTTATGGTAAGATACAAATTTCATCAACTTTGTCGACAGTCTACAAGTATACCAACTTTTCGGCATTTGAAATAAATAACTAAATAAAAATGTTTCATTCACAAATATGAGCTGAAAAGCTATTTGGCAGTGTTAAATAAAGATAATAGTAAATATATGTATATAGTTTATGTACATATTTATACGACTGCATAATTTAGGAGTAATTATAACAACAATATTTCAAATATTCTCTAGAAATTACGCCTTAATAGATTTGTTTGTATTCGAACGTTCAGAAACAAAATAAGAGAGAAGGCCCGAGAGTAAATACAAATAAAAATGTGTCCAAAGCAGCAGCAAAACAGAAAAGAAGGGCTAGCTCCCCTCCCCTCCCCCCCCCCCCCTGAAGACCTAGTGCATGAGCTAAGAACAGACGGACAGGCAGACGGACGGACGGACAGACAGACAGACGAACTGCAATGTATCGATTTCTATCGCCATGCTCTGATTAAGAAAATGTATAAATATTTACTGGACGGAAATGCTTCCTTCTCCGTCTTCCTTCCTTTGCACAAAACTAATATGCCCTTTTTACCCTTCGGGTACTATTTTTTAAAGCTCTTCAAGGAAACCTTTAAAGTACTAGCTTCATAAATCAATTCGATATTTTCAAAACATGCATTTTTGTTGCTACCGACTTACAACAAAAACTTCTCACTATTAACTAACGATTTTGGAATATATTTATAGGCACTTAGGGAATTTTATAGAAAAAACCAAACAAATGCTAAATACGAATATGTTTTATAAAAAGATATGAATAAAGCACCAACTGGGAATAGATTGGGCGTGTCCAACTAAAAGTATTGAAACACAAAAGCGCAACTACAATTGTTAGGATTCCCCACAACACATGGGAGGGGCGCTGACATAAATTTGCATGCACCTAGCTAGACCACACCATGGTCTAAAATTGACCATTTAGCGTTGACATGCGAAGGCAAACATGCGTAATTGGATAGTCGAGTGTACTAAAAGTTGTTAACATGGTGCGGAACATGAAAACTGCATGCCAGGGAGAGACGAAGTCCCAGTTGACAGGACACGAGTCAGTTTCGCGATGACGGCCGGACATTTTAGACTCGTAGCTGCCATTTTAGGCGGCCTGTGTATCTCGACTGCACTTTCCCAAGTGCCGACTATGCTCGAGCAGAGTGAGGAGAGTGAATTTGAAGTCCAACTCTTCAAATTGCTGCAAAAGATATTCAAAGAAGAGCCCTTCGACACGTTGCTGTTGTACACACGTCCTCAGCAAAACTGCGCTTTTCATTCATTGTCAAGTAATTGGCCCACGGTGCTGGTGACCAACGGTAGCACCGATTATGATTGGAACTATAGCAGTACCGCATTGGTGCTTGCCTGTGATGACAACGCCGAGCAAGAGGAGAGCGATCGCACCTTGTTCAAGCTGCGGCAGGCAAGACGATTGGTGCGCACGGATACGGCAGGACCCGAGCATGCGGCTACCCTTTGTGAGCTGTACTTTGAACTGGAGCAGCACAATATCGTTCTGCTGGACGAGAACTTTGCCTCAACGGGTGTTTACTACAGTTGTCGAAAGTTCCTCTCTGCCTATGCGGTCTTAGTGGAGCAGCAGTTGTCATCCCTTCAGCCCGCCTATGTGAAACAATTTCGAAATATGCAAGGGGCGCTAATCCTGACCGATGTGGACCAACTGGCCCCAAGATCTATGCTCTATCAGGACAAGCAGAGCGGTGAAATGAAAATGATGGGCTACTGTGCCTCTCTGCTGCTCACATATGCTAAACGCGTAAACGCGACTCTAAAGCTGCGCTTAGATCAGGAAATTGGACACGTCATCTTCTATGGTGATATTCATGAGTGGGCGCGCCAGAATCTAATTGATATTGCCACAGCCATGTCGATAAATATGATGTCGAGGTCCTTTGACCACATAAGCTATCCATATATGATATCCAGTTACTGCCTTATGATGCCGCTACCCCAACCGGTGCCGTACAATGTGGTATATGGCATGATTATCGATCCTCTAGTAGTCTCCATTCTTCTGCTGCTCTTCTGCATCTTCTCGCTACTATTAATATACACGGATCAGCTGTCGTGGCGACATCTCAGCTTTAGCAATGTGCTGTTCAACGATAGGACTCTACGAGGCCTGCTTGGCCAATCCTTTCCGATGGTCGCCAATCCCAGCAGGCACTTGAAGCTCATATGTTTTCTGCTCTGCTCTGCCAGCATTCTGATCACGACCATGTACGAGGCCTATTTGAATGCTTACTTTACACATCCGCCATCCGAACCATTTATACGCAGTGTGGAGAGTATCGCCCGAAGTCATCTCCGTGTTCTGGCCATGCGCCGCGAAACGAAGGTTCTTCTGGCCGCGGTTGGCCGCACTCCGGAAACAGTTGAGTTCCAAGTAGTCGATTACATAGACGACATAAACCAATTAATACAAACACGAAACAGTTTAAATACCTCGTTTGCTTATCCGGTGACAGAGCTACGTTGGCGCACCTACCAGGAGCAGCAAAAACTGTTTAAGCGGCCTCTATTCTACTACTCTAAGGACATTTGCCTCAATGAGTTCATGCTGCTGTGCTTGCCCATGCGCAAGGAGCTGCCGTATCGAGACCTCTTCGAAATGCATATTCTCTATGTGCAGCAGTTCGGCTTGATGGAGCACTGGGTAGAGCGTAGCTTCTATCAAATGGTGCAGCTGGGACTAACACCTCTGAAGGACTTGAGCCATCCGTCGAAAATTGAGGATGCCATCTTAGTGGAAGATCTCATATGGATATTCGCTCTATATCTGGCCCTCCAAGCATTAAACTGCTTCTGTTTTGTTGGCGAGCTTTTGAAGTTTCGCTGGCAGCGTAGGACTCTTGGACGTGCTAGAAAGCCAAGGCAACGCATCAATAAAGGACAACATAAGATAGTTATCGGCGTGGCACGCAGCCCAAAAAAAATTGGACAACGCCCCCCGTAGGCTGCATGACTTCACGAAAAGTGTCGTCGATATATAAAGGAATGCCAAACCTAGAAGCCACCACTCTGGGAAGCATTCGACATGTTTACGACGTGGCGTACAGTTTTTCGTCTAATCCTGACACTGGACTTATTTTTATACTCAACCTCAGATACTGACTCGGCATACAATTTTTTAATGGTGCTGGCTAGCTCGAAAGTCTCAATGCTGGCGATTCGTCCGGACCATTGCCCCGAAGTCTTTTTAAATCGCTTGCTGGTCAACCCACCAACAGCCATCCTGCTGCAGTCGCTGAAAAGTGAAGCACCACCTCACGAAGAATTTCCTCGGAATGATCTGCACGTAATTTGTCTGCACGGTGGCAAATTTTATGTGGACCAGCTGCAACCTCTTGCTGTATCGCTGCACAATAGAAGGAACTCCAGGACAATATTCTATTTAACGAACTTCCCCACTCGGCAATCAATGGAGCGTCTTTTGAGACATTGTCACTATCTTAGAATGTTGAACGTGCTGATGTTCGCCATTGATGAGAATGTCTATTTCAGCTATCAGCCTTATCCGCACTTTACGATGAGGAAACACAGTATTTTGGAATACCCTACATTCGCACCCAGCTTTCCTAACATGCACGGCCAACCATTGATCGTCATGCCCGATCAATCGCATCCGCGAACCATTGTCTACAGGAACAATCGAACGGGCGCTCTGGTGCTAACCGGTTCTGTAGGACGCTTCGTGCGCACCTTGGCTTGGAAACTCAACGCCACACTGCAGTATCCGGTTCCCATAGTACCTGGACGTGTTTTACATTCCGTCGAACTGCAGGCCATCGCCGACGATATGGCAATAGATGTTCCGGCTGGCATGGTAGAGCTTACCGACTCGGAGCAATTGAGCCGAGCCCCCTACCCCTTTGAATTGACGCATATTTGTTTGATGATACCGCTGGCCAATGATATTCCACTAAAAGACATATATCTGTACCTGAACAGCGCCAGCAACATTCTAATAGCACTCTCCATAATATATTCCTACGGTTTGGTGCTGGCTCTGCATAAATGCCACGTTGAACAAAAAGACGCACGCCTCGTCGACTTCCTGCTCAATGATGCAGCACTTCGAGGGCTATTTGGTTTGCCCTTTCGGCTTGCAAACAATGCGAGTGCTTGCTGCAGACTTATCTACGTTATCCTCGGAGTAATGGGCCTGAATTTGAACTGCATTTATAATGCCCATCTAGGCACCATGCTAACGCATCCACCGCAGCAGCCTCAACCACGCACCTACACAGACGTCCGTCAGGCCGGACTGCCTCTGGCTATACACGAACACGATCTGGACATTGCAAAGGATATGCATTTGCGATTGCTGCCCTTAAATAGTAGCGAGCTCAACCGGCTTCGGGACAACATGAACACCAGTAACGTCTATTTATGCACTCGCATACATTGGTCCCTCTATAGTGCCCAGCAACAATACTTTGCCCGTGAGCTCTTTATTTTTTCTCCAGATGCCTGCTACAGTCAACTGAGTCTTCTCAGTTTCCAAATGCCCAACAACTCTTGGCTGGTCGAGCCGATGAACGAGCTCATCATGGACGTTCGGGCAAATGGCATCTTTCAATATTGGCTCGAACGCCACTTTTTCGACATGGCAGCCGCTGGGCTAGTTAGCTTCAAAGATCTGAGCCCGGCCAGGAACTATGGAGGAGCACTGCAACTCGCACATCTTCAGTGGATTTGGTACGCATATATAATACTGCTATCTATTGCTTTTTGCATCTTCGTAATGGAGATTGCCTTCAACCACATACGCCTACACCGAAATTAAAAGAAGTATATTAAATATGTATTTTGCAAAAACACATACTTTGTTGAAAAGTCAATATTTTTGTTAGCACTTATGTATCTTATATCCAATATAATACGAATTATGTAATATAACTCTACAGATATTCTTTCTGGTTACAAATCAATAGTAGGGGTGTAAGTTTAATATTCAAAGTATTGCGCATTTTTCGAGCTGGTGTCCTAGGACTTGGTTCTTAATTCTTACATGCAGATTTGAATCCTGTTTTTACTTAATCGATTTAAAAATACATATTTACTGTACAACAAGTGATTAAAGTGGTTAACTACTTAAAGAATTAAATAATTTCAACAACACATTTCAGATTTATCAGTTGATAGGTAGATGTTATGACTTCATTTTCACATAGAGCCAATTATTACAATGCACCACCAGGGGAATTGAAAAGATAATCGCTCTATATGTGACAGCACTTGTTGATACCTTAGTTCCATAACTATAACACAGATCTGATTAGACCTCGCCCATTTTCTTAATTAAAGATCAAGATTTCCTTTTTCTTTTAACCCCTTAAACACTGGGAAATACTCGCCTTTGCACTTTTCGATACATATCGAAAGTACAATAGTTCAGCAAGAAATACTGAGCAGTTCAGTCCGCAACAGACTAAAAAGATCGCCCAAATCCACACGAGGTCCTCCCACGCCATATCGCGATTGGTTGTGTCCTGTTCAAGTTGATAGGAAGGTAGCTGACCCAACTGGACCATTTCGAAGAAGGCACATCGGTACCAATGCGACAACAAGCCTGTAGCATGTATCCAAGACAAATAGTCGTTGAACGGGTCCTTGTATATGGAGTTCTCCTCTACGGGTAGTCCAAAAACTACAAAATGAAGCCAGATGAAATGTGGCGAAACGCGAAAGAGGGGGCGCTTTAGTTTCGACTGGCGCTCCTTTAGCATTGGCCAAAGCGAGGTTGTAATTGGATATATAAAAGTCGTGTTTAGGTTACCTCGGAGTCGCTGCAACTCGGTAAAGGAACTGGTTATTTTGAAAATGTCCTTATTGGCAGTCCAAAAGTCCAAGCCCATGGTCGTCTTAACTAGTGATAGCTCCTCATCGTAGAGGAATATTTTATGCCCGGTGCGACGAATACCTTCGTAAGTGGTAACCTCAGGCGTGGTTGGTGGCTGAAAAAAGAGCATCTGCAAGTATGCCACGTACATATTGGTGAGCATTAATCCGGAGAATGCTATTAGACTATGAATAATTGCCGGAGTTAGTAATGGACAAGTCAATGGCATGACGAAGGATTGGGCGAGAAATCCGCGTAAAACCTGGTCAATACAATTGAAAGGTCTCAGAACACCGTCCACTCCTTGCATTGTCCAAACCAGAACCATGAGCAACAACATGACCACGCTGATGAGCAAGTGCGTGTTCATCTCGTAGACCATGAAAAACAGGGTGTTGATTTCCACTGACGGCTCCACAGGCAGCATCAGCTGCCACTTTGCGAGCTCAATGGGGTAAGTGAGCTCGGAAAAGTTTCCTCCAAACAAACACATTGGCAAATCTAAGGCGCCCGCGGTAGTGAGGTTTACTATTTGACCCTGAAACAACAGTTCCTCATTCCAATTAATATCCAAAGTTGCGTTCAGGTAATCAGCAAACGTATGTATTAGTGTGGCTATATATCCACCGACTTTGCGCTGAGAGTTACTATCATTGTAGACCACAGTGCGTGGCCATATGCGGTCGGGCATGGTACGTATGGCATGGCCTCCCAAGTCTTTCAATTTAGATTCAAAGTAAAGCCCCTCTGCAGACAACCTTTTTTGGCGTATTTCGAAATGGGGAAAGGCCCGATAGCTGTACAGTACATCCTCATTGTCGACCAAGGCTATCACATTTAGCATTTTGTGCATCAAACATTCCGTGAAAAGTTGCTTTAAAACCGGTAACATGTTGTGTCTTAGCAGCAACAAAGTTGGAGTGGCACGCATATGCTGAAGACTGTCATAGAGAGCACTCAGCTGATGATTCTCCAGTCCCTGCCAAAGGCACACCATGACGAGAACGTCTCGGTCCACATAGGCATTGAGATAATGCTTTCCCTTTTCACTTGTAATCAAATGCAGGACTCCCAAAGTCTTAATATCGAAGCTCGCTGGACAATGATCGCTGCTATTGAAGAACAAAACAAGCGTTTTGAAATGCAATTCGTCTTGCAAGTTCTTCAGAACTGTCCCTACATTGGACTCGACTGCTCCAATAACCATAAGGAAGAGCACCGTTATGCTTACTATATTCGATAGGGCGCGCATTTCAGGACTGTTAAGTTCTAACTGGAGTTCAAACGTGTATCGCACCCTACTTTTAAATAAATCGTTAGTGACAAAAACACTGTGTGCACATAATTAGGAGTTCATTACCAGAGATGGGTACAATAGAATGAACTTTCATGCGTGTCAAGACTGTGAGACATGTGTTCCGTCTTGTTTCTGAAACCGCCCCCCAACTATACTGCACAAAATGTAATAATGATATTGCGGCTAACAAGTGCTAATTTTTTTTTGATACCCTGTAGCCAAAGGTTGAAAGCGTATACTAGTTTAGTTCCATTGAACACAGAGTTCATTCTTGACCAGTATAACTAGACGAGCCAATATAGCCATGTCCGCCAGTGCGACTGTCCGTAAGGCTCGCTGTATGAACGCCACGAACTCCAAAAGTTAAGAGCTAAAATAAGTTAACTTGGTTTGCACATGCTTCTAGGTCTAAGAAAGGACAAGTTTGTGTGGTTCGAAAGCAAAAGGAGGCTGATATTAGGGAAAAAATAAATAGAGATGTTTTAAATCAAAAATGTTTATCATATTATTTTAGATAATGTTGTTAACTAATAAAGTAATCGTAATTCAGACTTTTAATGAATTTGTATGATTCTCTTAAAAACAAGCTATTTATATACAGTTTTAAAACAAATCAATATAGTATAACATATCTGGTAAGCCACACAAAAGAAAATGTTGGATGTTTGGAAAAACATCGATGAATCGTGCAAAAACCATGCTCGATACATCGGTGTTTTCTTACATCCCTATATCCAACTCAACAGGATATTATTTGCTTATTTCGAACTAGATCTGGAAAAAACAACAGACGATTTCAATTGGTGTAATTAAACAAGGTGTTTTGGCAGAACTGTTATTGTTTCTAACATTGGGAAAATGACATAAATTGCTATTAATATTTGATAACTCTATCATACAAAAAAGTCATTTACAGAAACATTTTTTTTGTCAATCACTTTTTATAGCCTGTACCCAAAGGGTAAAAGGCTATACTAGTTTTGTTCGAATGTATGTAACACACAGAAGGAGGCGTGGCAGACCCCACAAAGTACATATACATACATATATTCTTGGTCAGTATGGCAAAATAAGTCGATATGAATAACTCCGTCTGTCCGTCTGTATTAGCGCAAGGATCCCAGAATGCTAAAATAACCAAATCCGAGAAAGGACAAGTTTTCCATTTTTCCTGATGCATCCCCCCGTTCCCCGCTTTTTGTGATTTTCCATAACTTCCGCAATTCTTGGAATTGTTCAATCAGATTTGATAATTGAATTTCGTTAGGGATAATGCGCCCTCGTGTTAAGTTTCATCAAGATATGTCAAATGTAAAGGAAGCGTTATCTCTGACCAAGCCGAAAGTATAGTAAGAGCTAAGGGACAAGTTTGTTTTTGTGTCCTGTACAAAAACATAAGAATCTATTTATATAATTTTTTTATTTAACGTTATTAATTTTGTATTAAAATATTTCTTAAAATTGATTTTTTTTTTTATAATATTTTCTTTTTTGTGGGAGTGGGTAAGGGGTTTTTGAGAACCAGAGGGCTGGCATTTTGTTTTTTTTTGTTTTAATGCTATATATTTTTCTCATAGTACACAAAAAATATTTTTGAATTTATGTATTTATCTAGGGATGTATGCTGTAAACTATCGCACATCATTTTATATTCATGAGTTTTCTGGCACACCTACCCATTATTTGTGTAAATATTCATATTTGCATCTTTTCGATGCATATCGAAAGTACAATAGTTCAGCAAGAAATACTGAGCAATTCAGTCCGCAACAGACTAAAAAGATCGCCCAAATCCAAACGAGGTCCTCCCACGCCATATCGTGATAGGTTGTGTCCTGTTCAAGTTGATAGGAAGGTAGCTGACCCAGCTGGACCATTTCGAAGAAGGCACATCGGTACCAATGCGACAACAAGCCTGTAGCATGTATCCAAGACAAATAGTCGTTGAACGGGTCCTTGTATATGGAGTTCTCCTCTACGGGTAGTCCAAAAACCACAAAATGATTCCAGATGAAATGTGGCGAATCGCGAAAGAGGGGGCGCTTTAGCTTCGACTGGCGCTCCTTTAGCATTGGCCAAAGCGAGGTTGTAACTGTATATACAAAAGTCGTGTTTAGGTTTCCTCGGAGTCGCTGAAACTCGATAAATGAAGTGGCCATTACGAAAATATCCTTATTATCAGACCAAAACTTCAAACCCATGGTCCTTTTAAGTAGTGATAGCTCCCTATCGTAGAGGAATATTTTATGCCCGGTGCGGCGAATACCTTCGTATGTGGTAACCTCAGGCGTGGTTGGTGGCTGAAAAAAGAGCATCTGCAAGTATGCCACGTACATATTGGTGAGCATTAATCCGGAGAATGCTATTAGCCCATGAATAATTGCCGGAGTTAGAAATGGACTATTAAAAGGCATGACGAAGGGTTGGCCCAGAAATCCGCGTAAAACCTGGTCAATACAATTGAAAGATCCCAGAACACCCTCAACTTTTTGAATTGTCCCCCCCAAAACCATTAGCAACAGCATAGCCAAGCCGATGAGCAAATACGTATTCAACTCGTAGACCATGAAAAACAGGATGTAGTTTTCTACTGGCGGCTCCACAGGCAGCATCAGCTGCCACTTCGCGAGCTCGATGGGGTAAGTGAGCTCCGAAAGATTCCGTTTAATCAAAGACATTGGCAAATCTAAGGCGCCCGCGCTAGTGAGGTTTGCTATTTGTCCCTGAAACAACAGTTCCTCATTCCAATTAATATCCAAAGTTGCGTTCAGGTAATCAGCAAACGTATGAATTAGTGAAGCGATATATCCACCGACTTTGCGCTGAGAGTTACTATCATTGTAGACCACAGTGCGTGGCCATATGTGGTCCGGCATGGTACGTATGGCATGGCCTCCCAAGTCTTTCAATTGGTTTTCAAAGTACGACCCCTCTGTAGACATGTTTTTTTGGCGTATTTCGAAATGGGGAAAGGCCCGATAGCTGTACAGTACATCCTCATTGTCGACCAAGGCTATCACATTTAGCATTTTGTGCATCAAAAATTCCGTGAAAAGTTTCTTTAAAACCGGTAACATGTTGTGTCTTAGCAGCAACAAAGTTGGAGTGGCACGCATATGCTGAAGACTGTCATAGAGAGCACTCAGCTGATGATTCTCCAGTCCCTGCCAAAGGCACACCATGACGAGAACGTCTCGGTCCACATAGGCATTGAGATAATGCTTTCCCTTTTCACTTGTAATCAAATGCGGGACTCCCAAAGTCTTAATATCGAAGCTCGCTGGACAATGATCGCTGCTATTGAAGAACAAAACAAGCGTTTTGAAATGCAATTCGTCTTGCAAGTTCTTCAGAACTGTCCCTACGTTGGACTCGACAGCTCCAATAACCATAAGGCCGAGCACCGATATGTTTACTATATTCGATAGGGTACGCATTTCAGGACTGTTATTTCCTAACTGGAGTTCAAAGGCGTATCGCACCCTACTTTTAAATAAATCGTTAGTGACAAAAACAATGTGTGCATATAATTAGGAGTTCATTACCAAAGATGGGCACAAAAGTACGAACTCACGAGAGACATGTCTTCCCTCTTGATTCTGAAACTGCCCAAACAATAATACACAAAATGTAATAAAAATATTTATGGCAAGTAACTAACAAAAGAGTTTGCTCATTTCGCATTTAGATGTGGAAAAATAATATTTTTTATTTATTACAATATTATTGCTTCTGGCATGGGATGCATGACATCAATTATATTAATAATTCAGTGTAGCTATCTGATAACTCTATCATACAGTAAAAGTATATTGTACCCCCATTTACTCTCATTTACAGAAACATATTTTTTGCCAAAGTAAAAGTACTTAATAATTTTAAACAAAGTCTTAAAAGTTAAACCTTCGGCTTGCTGTTAAAGCAAGTTTTTTTTTAGTTTTGTACCCTTTATTTTATTCCTTTTACGGGTATACCTAGAAACCGTATTCCTTTAAAATCGTATATTATATTACATACATATGTACATATTTGGTTTTCTGGCATGCCTAACCATTTATCTTTCGTAATATTTGCACCTTCTTGGATACATATCGGAAGTACAATAGTTCAGCAAGAAATACTGAGCAGTTCAGTCCGCAACAGACTGAAAAGATCGCCCAAATCCAAACGAGGTCCTCCCACGCCATATCCCGATAGGTTGTGTCCTGTTCAAGTTGATAGGAAGGTAGCTGACCCAGCTGGACCATTTCGAAGAAGGCACATCGGTACCAATGCGACAACAAGCCTGTAGCATGTATCCAAGACAAATAGTTGTTGAACGGGTCCTTGTATATGGAGTTCTCATCCACAGGCAGTCCTAAAACCAACAAGTGACCCCAGACGAAATATGGCGAAACGCGAAAGAGTGGGCGCTTTAGTTTCGACTGGCGCTCCTTTAGCATTGGCCAAAGCGAGGTTGTAACTGTATATACAAAAGTCGTGTTTAGGTTTCCTCGGAGTCGCTGAAACTCGATAAATGAAGTGGCCATTACGAAAATATCCTTATTATCAGACCAAAACTTCAAACCCATGGTCCTTTTAAGTAGTGATAGCTCCCTATCGTAGAGGAATATTTTATGCCCGGTGCGGCGAATACCTTCGTATGTGGTAACCTCAGGCGTGGTTGGTGGCTGAAAAAAGAGCATCTGCAAGTATGCCACGTACATATTGGTGAGCATTAATCCGGAGAATGCTATTAGACTATGAATAATTGCCGGAGTTAGTAATGGACAAGTCAAGGGCATGACGAAGGATTGGGCGAGAAATCCGCGTAAAACCTGGTCAATACAATTGAAAGGTGTCAGAACACCGTCCACTCCTTGCATTGTCCAAACCAGAACCATGAGCAACAACATGACCACGCTGATGAGCAAGTGCGTGTTCATCTCGTAGACCATGAAAAACAGGGTGTTGAT